TGAAATGTGAGTTGAGAGAGCCAGAGGAGAGCATTATAGCCCAATATTTGGGAGGCTTGAAGACAACCATCAGCCTTATCGTTCAACTGCAACATTACTGGTCATTAAGTGATGTTCAAACATTGGGTATAAAGATGTGAAAACTTAAAAAGCAGATCAAGACCTCGATGTCATTCAAGCAGTCAACCACAGTAAGAAGAGCAAATACAACTGAGAAAAATGTGAAAACTATCCAGAAAGATGATAGAGCTGATCAGAGTAGGAAGAAGCCCGAGATGAGCATAACACTTAGCACAATGGTTGCAAGGAAGTGTTTTAGATGTCATGAGTTCAAACACATCGCCTCCTGTTGCCCTACTACCAGAGTTGAAATAAAAGATAGTCAGGAAGTGCAAAAGTGTCATCTTCGATTTAATGAGGGTGAGACACTTGTGGATCAACGGGTCCTTCAAACAAAGGCTACAAGAAAGTAGTTGTGGTTTCACCATATCTTTTATGTTTGTTACACTGTGAAAGAAAATATGTACAATCTTATCATCAATGGAAGTAGTAGTGAGAATGTGGTGCCTACATAGATTGTGGATAAGTTGAGTCTCACTATTCAAAAACATACACAAACATATTCGTTGAATAGGTTGAAGAAGAGAAATAATATTAGTATTAACAGGAGATGCCACATTGAGTTTTCAATTGGGATCAGTTGTATGACCAAGTGTGATGTGATGTTGTACCAATGGACACCAATCACATCCTGCTAAGAAAACTGTGGCAGTTTGATCACAATACTAAACATGATGGATTCAAAAATACTTATTCATTCATTAAGGATGGAAAGTGCACTACTTTTTGTAAAATCTAAGGTCATAGGTGCTCTTGCCATGAGAGAGGCACCAATGGGATCATTTTTGGTGATGTTAAGAAGGTGGTGAAACAAAAGAGCTGATATTAAACACAGGACATCCACTACAGTGAGAGTTTCAAGATATCATAACCAACAATTTACCAACAAGACTGCCACCGTTAGAGGAGGTTAAGTTTGTCTTCACTTCAAAAAGGACAAGTCAACTTTGAGTTACTTTTAGAGGACTCTACGGAGTACGCTTGGCACAAAGTTCCAGTTCAGTTCAGCAATGTTGGTTGGATAGATAGAGATGGTTACTAGCAATTCGAGAAACCTTCTCAGGTCTTTTGTAGCAGTGCATCTAACAGTTGGATTTAGATTCTTCTAAAGACGTAGTCAAAGACCCCACAATCCTGAGAAATTACAACATGTCCACTACCTTCAGCGAAATCGACACCCCACAATCCTGAGAAATTACAACATGTCCACTATCTTCAGCGTAATCGACCTAACACCATTCGATGTATGAAGTTAAAACTCCCCCAACCTCAGAAAATTGAAACGGACATCTATACCTGGATCGGTTCAATACAGAGTTCCTGATGGTCGACCGACCCTCTAGTCATCTTGAGTGTTGCCCAACTGAAATGGGGCCCACTCCTAGCATCCAGGACTATATATGTGCTTTGTTAGTGTTTAGAGTTTAGTTTTTGTGTGATTTGCTTTGAGACGGTTGTCAATGTCTCTTTTTCCTATACAAGTTTTATCCTAGGGTTCCAAGTAGACTCCAGTTATATCTTGGTTTACATGTGGTATTTAACCTCTCTAAACTTTTCCCCCTCCTTTCCCACATCGACGCCCTTCACCCTCGCCGCTTTCGTTTTGTTTTCATTGCCCTGAAAATAGTGAGGCTACTGTTTTTCCCCTCTACCCTTGTTGAAACCACCCAAACAACAACAAAGCTATTGATTTCTGTTCCATCCCTGTTGCCACGGCCCAGGAACAGCCATCGGTTTGCTGTCCTCTCCTTCCAGCTTGCTAGCCACCTACTTGCCACCACCCTAGACCTAGTTGGCATCACCTACGCCCTAGATCTAACCCTAGTTCTAGTGTTGTGTTGTTGTTTTGTTGTGATTTCCGACTCCCCACTATTTGTCTAGTGTTGTATTGTTGTTTTGTTGCGATTTCCGACACCCTACTATTTGTTGCAATTCCAGATTTTGAATTCAATAATAATATATGTTTTCTCTTGGATGTTTGTTAAATTCCACTATCACCCTATAAAATGAATATAGTGCACACCTTTTGCAACAAACCAAATATTCCCTAAATGTGTCCCAAAGTTTGATCACTGCAAGTCATGAAAAATTAAAAAAAACTTCTTGTACCCTACCCGCTAGGGATTCTCATCCATACAATGTGCTTCACTCCCTTTAAAAATTTCATTCATCTATCTCCTCAATCTACTTTTCTTTACCTCTCCAATTCTCATCCTATATCAAATTCATGTGTAGCCCATTGTCTGTCTCCATATAATTTGCTATTATAACAACCCTTCATGTTTCCATCAATCTTCATTTTGAACCTTAAATTGATCTTCTCAATGTATGCAACTCATCTATGACCATGAGCATCTACCCCTCACTTGTCTTTGCCATGTTGGAGTCACCTACATGAATTCAAATTTTACTCAACACACTCATCAAAACTTCGTTCATATCCTAGATTGTGGGCCTTTTACTGACACAATTCCACCAATTACAAGCCTTTGTGTTCACCTACATATGTGTTTTCATCTCCTCTACACTAAATGAGGCCATCTCGCCTCTCCTCACTCTCCACCAAGTCATAAGCCACATTCGCTGACAAATCCTACTACAGTTTCACTAGTGATGGCTAACTTCTTTATCGATAAAAACACTGTCACACATCTACACCATCATCCACCACATCTATCTTTCTCTTTGAAATGTCGATCTCTACTTGACACAAATGAGCAGATCATTTTGCTTGCATTCTTTATTCAAACTCTCACTTATGCACCACATCCCACTAACCCTAGTTACTCATATTGCACCACCATAACCAAGTTATATTTATGCCACACACCACACTTTGCTCATTTCCTCACCAAGTACATCTCTCACGCACTATGCATCACTATCTATGATCCTCGCTTTGCTCAAACTATTCACGTACCACTTGCATGTTTGTTATAGCTGCACACACAAACACCAACATGGCTAATATGGCTCAGTCCACTAATTTTAACCTAAACACCCACAAACTCAAATAAAAAAGGATTAAGTTCAATTAAAAGATACTTAGCTTAGAATGAGTAATTTAGCATCATGCATCAGTACCTTAGAGCATCCAAAGATGTTCAACCAACATTTTGATAATGTTATCGAGGACCTAGGACAAGTCCTCAATTGGTATTGTGGACAACGATGATGTTCATCACCTTTGTCTGCTCCTCAAGGTGGAATTCCCATTTGTCAACTCTTCTTCTAGATGAACTTATCATTCATCTCTCTTTAATAGTATAGATTTCACCAATTCCATGATATGGCTGAAGGCTTCCAATTCTTCCTCCAGTAACATTGCTACTCTCCAAGGAAGAGTTCCATCCAGTCTAAGAGAATTGATGCCAATATGATAATATCAACATTTAATGTTACCTATGAGTTACATTCAATTTTTTTTTCTTTTTGTTTAGTTCGTCATTTTCTATCTGCTCAAAGAAACTTCAATAATTTTTCAATAAACCTTCGCCATCATCATCATCATCATGAACCTTATTCCAACTATTTAGGGTTGGCATTATATAACCTCATTTTCCATTAATTCCTATTACATCTTGTTTAAGACGTGAAACAAATTCATCGTAAATTATGGTTAACTTATATTCCTTCTTCATCCTCTAGTACTTATTCTATCTACATGTCTAATGGTCACATTTTTTATCCTTTATTTTAAATATTCAAGACACCTAAGTCTATTTTCAATCACTTAATCTTCAATTGATGCACTTCAAACTATCCCCTAATATAATCATTCATTATTTTTTTATAGTTTTACCACGCATTTAACATTCTCAATTCTATCACACAACTTGGATATTAATGAATTTTTTAAACGTTCAACAATCAAAGCCATGCATTATCGACCTAATTCCATGATATCCTCTTATCATACTAATTTTTTTTAGGTATTTCACTATTTTTCAATAAACATTATATCTATAAAGGGGCCTAGTGACTAGTAATTGATCATTGAAGTTTATGATAAAATAACGAAAAACTTTTTTATGGCCTCCCACTTAAGGAATCTCTGTCAAGGGTTTTCATTATGGCTTTGTCTCTATTCTGTGCCTCCAACCCTCTAAAGCATTCATTCATCTCTCCTCAATCCACTTCTTTTATCCACCTTTATGGTTCTCTTCTGCCCTTTCCGTTATCAACTGCATACATATTGATAGGCAATAGAGCAAAGCACATTACCCTTGTGGCGTGCAGTATTTTAGTGCGCTAATTTATTACCTAAAAGCAATATCATTAGTATATTTTCATCAATTTTATTTTCTTTTTATAAGCGCTTTCCCAAGAAAAATCACACAGGCATGCATCTAGTCCTACTCCAATCAAAGTATTCGGGTCTTTATAGTTTACATGAAGGAAATGGCTTCAACTCTAGGGGACCACAAAAACTATGACTCCAGGCAACAGATATAGGGAAAATTTTAAAAATGAAAATTCAATCATCAAAGAAAACAATATTTCCATTTGCCAAGAAATGAAAAACTGCTTGTACTTATACCTAAATCAAGCTCAAACATAGGGATTATTGAAGCCAAATCATTTTTAGCAAATATGAAATCCTCCCTACGCCAGAGTATATTCACCTTAGGGAACAAAAAACATTTAATCATTTGAGCATAAAGAAGATTAGAAGAGTCCTAAAGTCTTAACGATCGAGTAGATAACATAACGATCGAGTAGATAACATATATGTACATGATATCTACAACAATATTGACCATCATGACAAAAAGCCTTAAGGAAAAGGCTATAAATACATTGTAAGTAATATAGCAATACGAAGCACTAGGAAAAAAACGAAAAGATAAATCTTATTAAAATTACTATATGCTAGGCACCTGAACCCTTTTAAGTATGTGTATGATGATTGATGAGAACGGGAACACCAACGTCTCTATAAATCACTTCAGCTATGAGCTAAGCTTTTTTCTAGGATGGTTTGATGGCCCAGTTGATCCTTTAAAAAACTCAGAGATGAAATGTTCCAGTTCATCGGGTGTGTATTTAATGTACTTTGCTGCTTGCCTTCCAGCCTCCAAATGCCCACCAAATCTTCCCAAGAATGACCTATATGCCGGGATCACTCTCTCAGATATAGACATGCACAAGTCATCTCTGAGCTGAGAATCAGGAACTTTCCAAGTGGTCTGAGTTCTGTATATTTCTTCAAAGGCTAAATTGAAACTCTTGAACCTATCTTTGATGACCATTTTAGGTGCGGCACTTAAGCTGATACTTCCACTTCCTCCCAATCCATCATCCTTCAAATATGACAAAATTTTGGTCCAAGAAGCTCTGAGGTAGCTGTTCGCATATTGCTTCACTTGAGCACGGCGCCGACGAACCCAGTTATCGCCCAAAAGTCCTAGAAGCTCAGAGTCCCTAACTTTTTGCACTATATATAGTATATTATTCATCAAGAATATGCACTGAAGACCACCATCTTCATAATGCTTTGACTTCTCATCAAGATTAGACTCTAAATAAGACATCAACATCAGTAAACTACGGCCTACTGGTGTCATTCTCCCCGAACTTTGGGTATCGTCATCATTAACTCCTCCCATAACATTTTCATCATCCAAAAGCACGTCAAGGGAGCTGCTGTAATCCACGAACAATTTGACATAATTCATAACATAACGGGTAAGAGGATGAATCTCACCTCCTGGTAGAGGCCTACGTGAAACATCTTTCTGAACATCCTTAGCAAATTCCATAAAAGTGCCTCTTACAGATTCCCCCAATCTCTTCAGGATTCCCTCAGCCTCGCCACATATAAGACTATCGGCCTCTGCGGAGAACAGGGAATGTAGCTCAGGAATGACATCTGCCAAAGCCTCGTACATGTCAAGAATTCGGAAAAGCTTTTCAGAGGACCTCTGACAAATGGAGATTGCATCCCCAAAATTCAGAAGCTGCAGGATACAAGCTTTGGCGGCTCCTGTAAAGCATTCGTCTTTGATGTCATCAGATATACCAAATATCTGTTCAGAGAGCCTCTTCTCCTCAGTGAGCAGAATCCTGACCATAACCTTAATCGCCTGAATCCACTTTTTCATCTTCTCATCCAGAGCTCTCCACTCAACTCTCTGAACCTCCTCAATGCTCATCCGTTCCAAGCCAAGAATTGAGAGGCACTCGTCGAGTATATCACGCCTGACGCTGCTGTACACCTGACAGAGCTCCTTCCCATATCCAGCCCAGATCATCCGGTCTGCAATCTCCTTCAGATCGGACACGACCTCAGGCAGAATGAGGTCGATTCTCCGGTCACTGGAGGTGAAACTCACGCCGCGTGACTCCAGGCTGGCCTCGTATTGCTGTTCCTCATCGACCGATTCCTCAAAGTCGTCGACTGAATCGCCAGCAACAGAGGTGAAAGAAAGCGAAACACGACGGATCGAACTGTGGAGACTGTCGGCATCGAGCGGGACAGTGTTGCGGATCATCAGATGGCGGAACTCGTCTTCCAGCCGCGCCATGGCAATCTGAACAGCGATCTCAGCCCGGGCGCGGAATTCCTCAGGTAACGACTCGGACTCGAGGAGTGAGACGAGTTCGTCGACAGCATCAAGGTACTCGACGGCCTCGTCAGCAGATGCCTCCCACAGGAGCGAATCGGAAGACTCCCAGCGCTGAATAACCTCCTCAGCATCTTCGAGGTTACAGTCTCCAGGTGCAGGGGCCTCCCTCTCCGCATCAACCCGGGCAGCGGTCGGAGAGGAACAGCCAGAGCCGGCGGTTGGTAAGAGATCGTTCATAGAGGAGAGGCGATTGTCGAAGCCGGAGAGTATGCGAATCATGTCCTCGGCAGCGTTCTTCGAAGTGGCCAGGCTCCTCACGATCTGCTGCGCCGTCGCGATGACCTTGTCCTGGCCGTCCACCCTCGTGGTTGCCGCCATTACCAGTTCCGCAGGTCGTTAGAGCTTCAAAGATCGTGAAAGTGAGAACAGATTTCAGATCGAAGCGGGAGAAAATGGGGAGATTCGCAGTAGGGTTAGGACTGGGACGGAAGGCGTCGTCTCTTCTTTTACGCGAGTTGAATTCCACCGCCAGCTTGACGACTTCAGCAAGACGACAAGCCGACCCATCAAAACGATAAATATTACCGCGTTAAAAAGCACGTCCGCGACTAGCCCGAAACCCTATTCACACGTTCGCAAATCGTAACCCATCCGGCCATGTATATAAGAATTACGATTCAAGAAAAAAATGACATTTGGATTACTTTATATTTAAAAAAAAATATATCTATATGCATATCAATTAACTCCTAGATATTTACATACCTAATGGAAGTTAAAGAATTCAGAATAATAGAATAATAAATTATCATCTTAATCTTACATGAAAACCCAACAACCCAACATACATGACACCTCCATTTTTACAAGAAAAAACCTAGAAAAGCAAAAGATTATAGGGCTTAATCCATTTGAAATAATATGCTATAAATAATAGATATACATATTCACTCTTCTTCTTAATTAGAAAATATGAACTTAAGAAGTTGATCATTGTAAATGTTCAATAATAATTCATTTATAATAGTCGTATTATAAGTTGATCATTTGTAAACGTATAATAATATTTCATTAATAATAGTTGTATTATGGCTATAATGAATGTAGTGCTCAGTGATAGTAGGTTGTAAGGGCATAATCGATTGCTATAAAGTTAGTAGTTTGTTGTGAATGTTGTAGACGATGATTATCACCAGTTTGTTGTATAGGTTGTGGTTGAAAGTTGGAATTGCACGAACTATAAGTCATATAGTTCATATTGAGTCGCATATGTCATAGTGTTAAGTTGTGATGACATTCGTAGGCCGCATAGGCCAGAGTCAGTAGCTATGTGAGATGTAAGCAATGTGGGTCGTAGTTGATCATATAGGTCGTAATGGTGAGTTGTGATGACGTTTATAGATCGCAGAGGCCTAAGTCAGGAGTTGTGCGTTGTTGATCACATAGAACTAGAGGCTGGAGTCGGAAGTTGCACAAGCGCTGGACCATGTAGGTCGTAATGATGAGTTATGATGATATATGTAGGCCACAGATGTTGGAGTTGAGAGCTTTAGAAGTCCAGTGAATGTCACCATATTTGAGAGACGTCATTGCACAATATGGGGGGTGTGTTATTACATGGTTATTTGGGTGTATCGTTACATGGTATTCAGAGTGTGTTGTTACACTGTCTTCGAGTGTGTTGCTCTATAGGATGTCTCATTGCTCCACAATGTATGTTAGTATTCTACAATGTACATCATGATATTACAAGGGATTTCATTGCAATAAATAAGGGCGACATATGGTAATCGATGACAATCGACGGACAGAGGTCGGTAATGGTTAGTGGTTGTAGGAGTAAGAAGCATTTGTTGAACCTTCGTACATAAGCAACATTGTGGTTCAACGCCTTCTTCTCCATGTCTCAGGTTTTCTTTAGTTCGGGGCCTAGGCCCCCCTCTCAAGAGGTGGGGCAGTGGAGAGGTTGTACTGCAAAAAAGAAAGGAATTTTTACCCCTTAATCGGATGACCTTAAGAGATTCTCTTAGTTGAATGGGGTTCAATGAACATTTGACTACTTTACTGATATCAAAATTAAGTAATCTTGTACTTTTTGGATTAGTCTCCCCTAGACGCTCGATTTGAATATGAGAATGTTAAATTTAAAATCCGTTTGATCTTCAATTATATATTGAGAGTTTTCAAAAGTGGTTTAATGGTTTGATTTGGCTCAAATTGGACTGATTTTGGTATTAACGGGTCCGTCTCGTCGATCCGGTCAGTTTGACTTTAACTTTGTTGAAATTAAAGTTTTTGATGATTTAAATCGATATTTAAACATTTCTTAGTTAAAAAGTTGTCTAGAATTTCGTGTCAAATTATTAAAAAGTTTTTTATGGGATATCAATATCTAAAATCTAAACTTTATTTTACATTTGTACCATATTCCCAAGCTCAAGATGCGAAAAGCCAATTGTAGTTGACATCAAGCTTAAAATTTCACTCAAAAAAAAAAAAAAAAAAAAAAAAATACCACCACCTACATTTATTTTAAACTTAACTAAATAATTTTGAAGTACATCAAAAAATAATCATGACATGAATCCTTTTAATACTTATAATAATCAAATTTTTTATATGACATAATATTTTTAGAAGCAATATTCTTATTTTCATGTATAATGAACGTAATATTTATATAAAATTTTAAATTTAGATGACAGATATATAAATATGTATGAATTCAATGGCATCGTTCTTCTCTTTGAGGTCGGGACCGCTCAATACATTAATTATAATATTTTAATATAATATTTTAATATAATATTTTAATTATCCAAGCTCAAAAACTTTATGAGTAGTTATACTAATATGAATGCAATGAAAAAAAAAATGATTAAAATATTATATTTAAGGTTTAAGTATTTAAGATATTATATTTAATATTTTGAGCCATTGCTATATAATAACTCCTAATAAATTAAGTGGTATGCATATAAATCTTCATATTTTAAATTTTCTTTTGTAATGTAAATAAAACATGGATGCATGACTCATAGTTGCAGTTTCAGCCACATGGCACTATAAAATTTAATGCTATTTAATGGTATTCCAATTGTAATAAATGATATCTTAAATAATAGCAAAGAGAATTTTTATAATTATTTTATTAATACTATTCAAAATATAATATTTCTTCTAAATATTTGTTGCTTGTCATATTATAAATCACAAGTAGTTGCTTTAGCATTAGCTTTTTTAACATTAAAAAGCATTTATCCACCTTAAAGCATGCATATTTTAAATCAATGCATCTTGGGGCAAGGAGGTGGATGAACCTCACACAAATGAGCTCAATGTGAAATCATTAATTTTATGAGGATGTTATAAAATACTTTTCTCTTATTTTTACCAATTTAAGTTGAAGGTTCTACCACATTCAATTAGTATAACTTTTTTAGGTCATCGTTGAATTGAAACCCAATTATATGAGTTGAAGCTAGCTTTTGTAAGGAGATCAGTTGCATATTTGGTTTGGTTGAGGTGAATGTCGTACACGATGATTCAGATTTGAATGCCAAGAAAGGTAGATATGGGGCCGAGATTCTTGGGTTTGTAGAGTTGTTGCAGCTTGAGAATGAGTTGTGTTTGAGAGGGTTGGAGATTGTCGGTAAGTAGGATGTTATCCACGTATATAAGGATGAACATTTGGATTTGGTTATGGATGTATGTCATGAGAGAGGAATTGGTGTGACTTAATTGAAAACCTAGCTTTTGAATGCAGACTTAAAATGTGGTGTACCAATGTTGTGGTGATTGTTTTAGGGCATAGGAAGCTTTGTGTATGTGAGGAGGCCTCTCAAGTTGAAGATTCAAGCGAGTGAAAGCTGCTATGAATGGCAAAATGTAATCTTTGGAGTGAAGTCAGACTTGTGATTTGATAGTTTTACTAGATAAAAAAGAGTTTTACACTACAAGTGGGTCTATAGGCTGAAAGAGGAGCCAAATGATAACAAACACTGTCAGGCATTGCTTATTTTGAAGGGATTCAAATGAAAAAAGGGAGTGGATTACATAGATAATTTTCCTCTGGTAATAAAATATTTTTCTCTTATTTTTACCAATTTAAGTTGAAGGTTCTACCACATTCAATTAGTATAGCTTTTTTAGGTCATCATTGAATTGAAACCCAATTATATGAGTTGAAGCTAGCTTTTGTAAGGAGATCAGCTGCATATTTGGTTTGGTTGAGGTGAATGTCGTACAGGATGGTTCAGATTTGAATGCAAAGAAAGGTGGATATGGGGCCAAGATTCTTGGGTTTGTAGAGTTGTTGCAGCTTGAGAATGAGTTGTGTTTGAGAGGGTTGGAGATTGTCGGTAAGTAGGATGTTATCCACGTATATAAGGATGAACATTTGGATTTGGTTATGGATGTATGTCATGAGAGAGGAATTGGTGTGACTTAATTGAAAACCTAGCTTTTGAATGCAGACTTAAAATGTGGTGTACCAATGTTGTGGTGATTGTTTTAGGGCATAGGAAGCTTTGTGTATGTGAGGAGGCCTCTCAAGTTGAAGATTCAAGCGAGTGAAAGCTGCTATGAATGGCAAAATGTAATCTTTGGAGTGAAGTCAGACTTGTGATTTGATAGTTTTACTAGATAAAAAAGAGTTTTACACTACAAGTGGGTCTATAGGCTGAAAGAGGAGCCAAATGATAACAAACACTATCAGGCATTGCTTATTGTGAAGGGATTCAAATGAAAAAAAAGGAGTGGATTACAGAGATATTTTTTCTCTGGTGGTGAAGATTATAACTGTTAGGATTGTGCTGAGTTTGGTAGTTCGGGAAGATAAACATCTATACCATATAGATGTAAATACAACATTCTTACATAAAGATCTAGAGGAGTAATTATACATGATACAATTGCAGGGTTATAAAGTTTCAGAGAAATAAGGTTTGGTTTGTAGGTTAAAGAAGAGCATCTATGGTTTAAAGCAGGCCCCGCGACAGTGGTATAAAAAATTTGTCAGGTTTACCACTATTGCCTCATCAAAGATTTTGATATTTATAATATCATGCTCCTTTTATATGTTGATGACATGCTAATTGTAGTGGCAAATATAGAGAAAATCAGCGATTTAAAAGAATAATTATCAAATGAGTTTAAGTTGAAGGATTTATGTCTAATAAAAAAAAAATCCTTGGGATGTGAATCAACATGGAGTGGAGTGATGGTGCACTAAAGTTGTCTCAGGCAGATAGCCTATAGAGATTCAACACGAGTGAGGCAAAAATCGATTTGCATCCCTTTAGCTAGTCACTTCAAGCCAGTTAAGGAGTTGTTGCCTAAGCTGAAGCAAAGTAATAAACATATGAGAATAACTCTGTATGCTTCAACGGATGTGAGTCTGATGTATGTTATGATTTGTATCAGACCAGAAATTACAATTATAGTGAGAGTGGTCAGCTGATACATAAGCAACCCAAATGATCTATAGGCTGAAAGAGGAGCCAAATGATAACAAACACTATCAGGCATTGCTTATTGTGAAGGGATTCAAATGAAAAAAAAGGAGTG